GAATTAAATTTCTGTCGAGTATTTTTGGATTTTTTATGCAATTATTCACAACTATTGTGTGATACGTTAAAGTTTAAACTCAGTGATGAATTTCCAAACTGTGAGCGAACAGCAGACTGCGGGCCCCAGTACCGGGATGCCACAACAACCGGCCGACTCGGAGCTGTCATTGCAAACTGAACGTGACGCAATTCTTAGATTTTTCGATGAGTCTGATTCAGACACTAAGTTTGAAGGCTTTACAGTGGAAGAAATAGACGAAGGGAGATTGAGATGTGAATTGCTATGCCAAAATACCAACTGTGGCAGTGGCATCGATCCTAATGAACTGTTAGACTTGCTGAATGCCGATGCCGACAGTGACTCGGACTCTGATGCCGATGACATCGCCGATACACCAAACATCTGGTCAAATGAAAGGACCGACGTGAACATTCCAGCACATGACGACCAGTTTTCAGGACCAAGACATGGTGTTGGTTTCGACGGGGAACCACTGGATTTTTTTAAATTATATTTTACGGACAATTTTTTGGATTTGTTGGTCGGGGAAACAAATAATTACGCTAGACATAGACAGGAAGTTACCGGGCGCGTAGACCGGCATTGGTATGAAACGGACAGAGATGAAATGAGTGCCTATTTTGGTGTTATCATAAATTAGAAACCAAGTGAATTGTAAATAAAATGAGTTTTTTTTTTTAAATGAAATGAAACTACAGTGTCCTAGTCTTCTTTTCCCTGTGTACATGTCAACCTACCTGGCTCACACTAAATTGGTAAAAAGTTTTGGGTAATGGGAGTACAAATATGCAAATTAGTAATGGGCCCTGCAACATTGTTGCAACAAAGTATCTATGGTGTGCAAAGGGTTAAGTAAATCTTCAAAAATATTCCAAAATATAAATGTTTGTTGAACTTCCAGTCTGATTTTCTTACAATTTTAACATTTCATTGTACAGATACTTTCTATCAGAAATATATTTGGCAATTTTAGACCGCAAATAGAGGACAATAGTTCCTAAATTTCAAGAGCTAAAAAATTGAAAAAAACATTACAAATATGATAATATATAAACTTACCTGTAGGTTTCTCATTTTCTGTTTTGAGCAGTTTTGTTTCATCATATTCTAATGATACCATTGAATCAATTCGTTTAGCTTTCGTTTCCTCAAAACACATAGACAGTCCAGTGCTATATGGCTCTACAAGATTGTCTCTGTCAGACAACCCTAAACTCGCCATTTTCTGCTGCATAAGATCATCATCTGTGAATGGAGCAGCATCAGTAACAAGATCATCATCACAATCAATTCCTACATCAGCATCGTCTGAGTAATCACGAGATCGGCGTTCGATTTTACTTCTATCAAGGCTGACAACCTGTGGCATCACATGATGAGGTCCGACAGCACTACGGGCAAGTAGTCTGTCATCTTGTAGTGGTGCTTGAGATTGGTAGGTAGTCATCACAGACTGCAGGCTCTGCCCCCACCTCTGATCACCCATTTGTCCACCCCCGCCTCGTTGTAAACCTAAAATTCAAGAAAAGAATAAATATTTCAGTTCGAAATTTGACAACTTAGTTTATCAATGCAGCAGATTGAGAGGGCAAAGGTAGAATAGATGTTTAATCTGTTCACCACCAGTTCCCTCTTTTCATCACAACTTAACAAAATAGTCTCGTTTATAGTCTGCACTTTCCTTCAGAAAAGTTTTTTGAGTGAAAACTAAAAATTGACTCATATTTTGTACGTTGGCTCCAAAATCAGGGTTCATTTCCAGAAATTTAGAAGAATATAAAAAAAAATGCTGAAAAATTTTTAGCAAGAAAGTCTGGTGGTGAACAGGTAAAATAATACACAAACACAAGACACATGCTGCAGAGGGTTTGAGACTCTTTCCTTTGATGTTTGACTCAGTTCTATGATCAACATAAACTGTAAAATACTTTATTTTAGCTGGAATTAATTTCTAAACTTAAAAGACAGATTGGCTATGAAGTTTATTTTCACTGATTTTTGATGAGTTGAATGTAAAATATAGGAAAAAAGGTATTGTCACTGGATTTTATTTCTGCTGACTCATCCCTTCAGCGAAAAATAAATTTCACATGAAAATAAATTACTTTACAATGATTCATCACATACAATGGCCATTATCATTTTCCCAAAGAATACAATAGATGTGATATTTCATGTCTAACCTTGCACTCCGCCTGCAGTAAATCCTTGGAATCCGCCCCCACCACCAAACGCAAACGAAGTACTGCCATAGGTACTCCCTCCTCCACTTCCACCCATTCCACTCCCACTCGGTCCCCCACCAAGGTGATCTCCAAAATATGGAAGAGTCTTTTTCCTTTTCTTGCTCACTTCTTCTTTGTCTAAGAATATGAAACACAATCATAATCAACATTTGAAAAATGGCATCAGTCTCTACTTAAAATATACGTACAGTAGAAAACTAACTATTTATTCACTGGGTTTTATTTTAAGCAGATTTTACTGCAGGGATATTTACCGGATTTAAACCTAATTAAGCCCTAAACAATTTACATGATGATGATCACATGCCTATGGTCTATACTATCACATGATGATCACATGCCTACAGTCTATACTATCACATGATGATCACATGCCTAAAGTCTATACTATCACATGATGATCACATGTCTACAGTCTATACTATCACATGATGATCACATGCCTACAGTCTATACTATCACATGATGATCACATGCCTACAGTCTATACTATCACATGATGATCACATGCCTATGATCTATACTATCACATGATGATCACATGCCTATGGTCTATACTAATACATGATGATCACATGCCTATGTCTATACTATCACATGATGATCACATGTCTACGGTCTATACTATCACATGATGATCACATGCCTACAGTCTATACTATCACATGATGATCACATGCCTACGGTCTATACTATCACATGATGATCACATGCCTATGGTCTATACTATCACATGATGATCACATGCCTATGTCTATACTATCACATGATGATCACATGCCTACGGTCTATATTATCACATGATTACATGCCTACGGTCTATACTATCACATGATGATCACATGCATATGTCTATACTATCACATGATGATCACATGCCTATAGTCTATACTATCACATGATGATCACATGTCTACAGTCTATACTATCACATGATGATCACATGCCTAGTCTATACTATCACATGATGATCACATGCCTACAGTCTATACTAGCACATGATGATCACATGCCTATGGTCTATACTATCACATGATAATCACATGCCTATGTCTATACTATCACATGAGTATGGTCTACTAGATACTTGTATTTATATTTCATTCAAGAATGAACTACACTTACCAAATTGTTGTGGATGGTACGTGAACGGTTTAGGCTCACTCACTTCAGAATCAGACTTTCTTCTAAGTTGAACCATAACACTGACAGGTCGATCAATTGCAATATTACGATATTTTGGAGTCTTAAAAACAATGGCATACTGAAACCAACAACCAGAGAATGCATCAATGCCTTTATTTTCAAGATGACAAACATCTCTACAGTGAGAATTGTACCATATGTATTTTGCTTCCATTTCCGTATATTAAAGCCACCAAGTTGTGCCACATTAGATAGCTTATAGCAGCTTTTCAATTCAAAATGGCTGACAGAATGATGCATGATGGGAAATCACAAGCATTTGTTTCTGTGGATAAAGGCCAATGCACCCAGTGTTTTTCATTAGATATAATGTATTTCAATTTGTAGTGAACGTCATATACAACTGTAACTACCTGTCTATGTACATCAGTGGGACCAAAGTCCCCCATCTGTTCCCACACATCTCCATTACCATTATCTTCAAAGAACCGGACCTGAATATCATCTTTTTGAACTTTATCGCATAAAAGATATACCTCATCTCCGCCAGTACAACATCCAGACGAACGATCCATGCGACAGATCTTCAACTGCGATGCGTTAGGTGCCTCTATCGAAACAAAAAAAAACAGTTTATTGTTACATCATGTACCAAATCCATGATTTTTTAGTGTTTTTGAATACACAGATTTTTATATACTTATAAAACAGCTCTTGACACAAACAATTCAAAAATTTAACAGAAAATCTAGAATTTTTAAGGAAAGTGCACACTATATTGGCTTATTATGCTTTAACGCACACTGATCAAGATACAAACAAAGAAGAGTTAACGATGACAACAACGATGACAACAATGTCAGACAAGATAACCTGTATAATTTGCCACTTTAGCGTCATTGCACACTGCGTAGTAAGAAATGTACAAATTATAATTACCTGATAGCTTTTGTTTTTATAAAAAGCTGGGTGATACAAGTATTAAAGTTTATGACGCATTTATCCACAAACTTTAAGGTATGTGTATAATTTTGGCTATGATCTTACATGTAGCAATAAAATAGTTTTACCAGTACGGTAACTGCCGTATTACTTCGTACACCAAAACAGCAACATTGCCAGCTGAGTTGCTGACTGGTTTGCTATGCACGCTTGGAGATCATTACGTGATTAGAACAAGTTGGTCCAAACCAACTTCAACGTCAAATTAATAGGGACTCTGACACGTTGAATATGAATAGAAGATTACAATATGATTTCCTTTCAATTTATTTCATTCAATCATATAAATGTGTACCAGTATATAATAAATGGCAAAGATATCCAAACAAAATGTACGTACTGAACACAGTATGAAATGTCGCTGGTGGTGTGTGTCATAATGCTCGTAAATGAGCCAAACGGTGAACAAACCAGTTCTAATCATGTAACGACCTTGAGACACGACTAACAAACCAACGCAATGTTGTTGTTCGAAACAATATGGCGGGGATAGTAACAATACCAACGGTACTCTACTTACTACTGTCATAAACTGGCTTAGATACGACTGCATCCAACTGTCTTGTATAACTGCCGCTACCATCGGCTAAATATGCTTGAAAACACAGTCGTACGACTGACAAATCCATATCGCTTGCTTG